AGGTATCTGGTCTCCCTCAACTTCTTGATGTCCTCTTCCGTCATGGAGGAGGGCATCCATCGGCCTTGAAGGCTGGATCCGGACATGATTGAAGATCAGGAGCACCTAACCTGGGCTTTGGGTGTTGGAACTCGAGGCGGGCAAAGGGTTCGATTGAGCACGAGAGGGAAAAAGCGAAAACCTTGTCCCTTTATAAAGAGGGTGAATATCAAGCGTCCTCTCCGTAGTCGTTTAGGACTTGCCTATAATCTAGGAGTCCTAGACACGGTTGGGTTACCCACGACCGCATTAATGAGAATCCCGTAATTGGGGGAACACGATCTCTGCTTTGACAAGACGTGCCAAGAAACCGCCTCGCGTTATGTGTGGAGCTAGTTGAAGAAAAAAGGTTCGAATAATTACCGGGCTATGACATAACGTCATGCTACCAAAACAAGTCAGCAAATTGGATTTGCAAAAATATTATTCTCTCTACGGCGGTATGTGGAACTTATTTTGCAGGGACGGACACTATCCTCGTATTCAAATTCTTCTGTGATGTATTCAGAGAAGGAACCCGCCTTGCAATGCCGAAGACAATACTGCGCGCCGGACTCATCGTCATTGAAGCCTGGTTCAGGGGCTATTGAGGGAGTCCTGGATTAGGGGGTCTCTGGACAGCCAGATTATATCCTTTGGCCGGACTGTTGGACTATGAAGATACAAGATTGAAGACTTTGTCTCGTGTCCGGATGGGACTCTACTTGGCGTGGTAGGCAAGCTAGGCAATACGGATATGGATATCTCCTCCTTTGTAACCGACCTTGTGTAACCCTAACCCTCTCCGGTGTCTATATAAACCGAAGGGTTTTAGTCCGTAGGACAACAATCACAACATACAATCATACCATAGGCTAGCTTCTAGGGTTTAGCCTCTCTGATCTCGTGGTAGATCTACTCTTGTACTACCCATATCATCAATATCAATCAAGCAGGACATAGGGTTTTACCTCCATCAAGAGGGCCCGAACCTGGGTAAAACATTGTGTCCCCTGCCTCCTGTTACCATCCGGCCTAGACGCACAGTTCGGGACCCCCTACCCGAGATCCGCCGGTTTTGACACCGACAATTGGCATGCCAAAGACTAATGGATGCGGACCCCTCAAAATACAAAGGATAAAGATTTGCAAAGCTTCAAGACTCTACATTTTTGGTCAAGTGATCCAAGATCACATTTAGTCCATAGGAAAGCCAATACTATTAAAAGGGGATGAGGTTTTGATCATGACTCAATTACTCAAGTGCTTAGTGATATTGCTCCAAAACCCTCAAATATTTCTCCACTTCCATCCTATCCAAAACCCTAAAGTTGATCTCAGTCCCACCGGAAAGCTCTCATCCAGACCCACCGAGATTACCATATATGATGCCATATGCCAAACCCTAATACTTTGGTGCAACCTAAATGGATCCCGGTCTCACCGAGATGGCCTGACCAAGTTTCTGTGATGAAGTTGCTTCATTTCAGAATCACCAAGATGAACAAATCGGAATTTCTGAAACAAGGTATTTCCCTGGCCATCGCACTTCGGTCCCACCGAGTTGGTATGATCGGTCTCACCAAAAAGCTTAATGGTCAAGTCTTTTGCACTAGTCAGTCTGACCGAGATTTTCATGTCGGTGTCAACGGGTTGGGTCAAAGAGTTGTAACAGTTGGATTTTTGGTTCTGCCTATTTATACCTATCCACCACCACCTACTCCCTGAGAGAGCCATCAAAAGGAGACACAACTTGCACTACTCATTTTCTGAGAAGAGAACCACCTACTCATGTGTTGAGATCAATAGATTCCAATCCAACCATTTTGAACCTTGATTTCTAGCCTTCCTCAAGTTGATTTCCATGCAATCTCCTATCCTACCAAAGCCAAATTTGTAAGAGAGTGTTTGAGTGTTGGGGAAACTATCATTTGAAGCACAATAGCAAGGAGTTCATCATCAACAACACCTTCTATTACCTTTTGGAGAGTGGTGTCTTCTAGATTGGTTAGGTGTCACTTGGGAGCCTTCAAGATTGTGGAGTTGAACCAAGGAGTTTGTAAGGGCAAGAAGATCGCCTACTTCGTGAAGATCTACTTTAGTGAGGCTAGTCCTTCATGGACGTAAGCCATAATGGAATAGGCAAGGTTGCTTCTTCGTGGATCCTTCGTGGGTGGAGCCCTCCGTGGACTCATGCAACCGTTACCCTTTGTGGGTTGAAGTCTCCATCAACGTGGACGTACGATAGCACCACCTATCAGAAGCATGCTAAAAATCATCATGTCTATATTGCGTTTGAAATCTTCAATCTCTCCTTTACGTTCATATGCAAAGTCTTTACTTTCCATTGCACAACTCTTAGACTTGCATGTGCAGGGTGTATTTGACTTGGTAGAATTGCTAAAATTTGCCTACAACTAAAATTGGAAAAATGATAAGTTTTATTTGTTCAAGTAGTCTAATCACCGCCCCTTGACATACTTTTGATCCTCCAGAATCACATCGGCCATGGATTATTTTGAATTTCAACATAAGAGAAAAAAATATGTAAATGGGCCGGCAAAGATGCTGCATAGGATTAGGCTCCAATTCCACCACTAAACATGAGCCCGTCGATGCCCGCACCCGTCCAAATCTAAGCCCGGCAAGAGCCCATGTAAGAACAAAGCAACATGATTTGGATATTTTTTTTGCTGATGTCCACATCAGGAGAGCAAGTAACTAAGGTGTACACCTTGCGAGAGCCCCTCAAGGGTCAATTTTCGTGGGCTGAGAGCACGCCACTGGCACGCTCTCAGCCGCCCCCATGTGTCGCGTGCTGGGGCTCCCTCATTATTTTGTTTTTGTTTTTATTTTTCTCTACGTGTTTTCGGTGTTTAGATGGTGTTTCTATTTTTTTTGGCTTTTCACTTTCCATCCGATTTTCCGTAGATTCTTGAGAGAGAAAATTGCTTAAAGAAAACACATTTCTTTTCTTCGTGCCTCTCGGAAAGGGAAAATAACATGTTTTTTTCATGAGAGGCACAAGTTTTCTTTTTGTGGAGGCATAGGTTTGCTTCCGCGAGAGGCGCACTTGTGTCTGTCCGAAAACAAACAAAAATGCGCTTTTTCGGTAGAGGCACATATTTGCTTCCACAAAAGGCACAGGGAAAGGAAAAAACGTGTTTTTTTGTTTCCACAAGATGCACATGTTTGCTTCTTGTGGAAGCACAAGTTTGCTTCGGCGAGAGACATAGTTGTGCCTCTCGAAAACAAAAACATTTTTCACAAGAGACACGGATTTGCTTCTTGTGGAGGTACAAATTTGCTTCTGCAAGAAGAACAATTGTGCTCTCGGAAAGGGGAAAACGTGGAAAAAAACGTGTTTCCGGCTACGTGTTTTTTCTATCGTTTTTTATGAAAAAAAAAATCATTGGAACCTATTAGCATGGGATCCAGTTTCCAGCTTCATTTTGGTTATGAAAAGTATTAGAGGTTGGTCAAGTCAGTATTTGGGAGGAGCTCCATTGCGGTTTAGTTAGTTTCATTGGCACCACGAAAACAAAAGCCGCCGTCAAAATTGGTCAGTCTGAGAGAGGTGGACGTCCTTAAGTATCTGGTGAGTTTGGTAGGTTTGCTACGTTCATCAATTAGGAAGAACCTTCATAATTGAATGTTTGAACAACAATCATTTTTCTTTAAAAGGGAATTTTTTTTTCTCCTTTTTGTATTGATCCTTATTCTATTTATTTCGGCCTCTATACTTCGATCGGGATATTGGACATAGAATGCCACTTTTTAGAAAGTAAAATAGGAGTAATTGGCCGTGACATGAAAAAAAGAGAACCATTCAGAACTCATCATTTATCGGCGTATGAACGATGAGAAAGAAGCAATAGCTGTGTGGTCTCGAGCATACTACCCACGGCACAAGTTTGCATTTTCATAATTCGTGTCTACTCGTCATTTCAGGAGTTATGAAAATGCAAGAAAAGATGCTAAATCTGATGATTGATTGAATTATGAATAGGAGTAGACTTTTGTACTGTTGTTGTTCAAAGGTGGAGCATTTTTTTAGGAAGTGGAGCGATTTGTTTGGTTCTTTGGACAAAGTGATGGACGTAAATTAAACTCAACTAAAAGTTACTTCGGTCTTGCTAAAGCACATCTAGATGTGCTCTAAATATTATACATTTAAGTTTTATGGCGTTGATTTTATGCGGAGAATCGTGAGGTTTTTTTTTTACAGTTTTGCTAGAACTCATCTAGATGAGATTTAATTTGGTCTCATTCACCTTTTATAGCCATTGGATGTGATGCTATAAGATGCATGTGTGCTGACGTTGGTTGTATTCATTCTTATTTTTCAGGTGAATGAGACCAAATTACGTCTCATCTAGATGAGTTCTAGGTACTCCCTTTTTTTAATGTTTTGATTTAGTCATTGTTTGATTTAGTCATTTAGATGTGCAATAATTAGGACATGTTTTTTTAAGGTATCTAGGACACATCTAGTTATATCCAAGTTATTTTGTCGAGTACCCCGCAAAAAAAAAGTTATTTGGCGATTGTGCTGTGGTGCTTCGTACGCGGTACAAACCCGTGTGTTGAATTTACTCGTTGTCCATCTGTGAAGTCCACACCATGTCGACTGTCGTACCAAATTTCTGCAGAGTAGAGCATCGATTGTCAACAAAGGTTCTTCCATAAAAAAAAAGAATCTGAAAGGCGTAGCACACCGTACAGCTACACACATTACTCAATACAGATTTTGATATATACTACAAATGAATTTAGTTCTGACATTTTAATTCCAGCCACGATGTGAAGGGACGAAAAAATCATTCAGAAAAAATAATACACTGCCGGATTATTTCCCCCGGACAGGCACAAACAGCTATAGACGAGATCAACGTGCAAAACAAATGTGTTAGGAAATGTAGTAAATCGTTCAGATCATCTAAAAGGACTAGAACTTGATTGGGTTCTTCCTCCTGAAGCCATCAGTTTGACTCGCCATTCTGCTCCGGCTGCTCCAGCTGGTAGAAGGGTATCTGCTGCTGCTGCTGCTGCTGCTGCTGCTGCTGCTGCTGCTTGTGCATCTCGAGCATCTGGTTCTGGCAGCGGAGCTGCATTTGCTGCGCCAGGTTGCTGGACGAGCCCGCGTCGCCGCCGCGCTCCGACGTCGCCGACTGCTTCAGGCGCTGGACCTCGCCGGTGAGCGCCTCGTTCAGAGCTGCTCATAGAGAAACGGGGTAGTTGTTCAGGATAAACTGGTTACTACCAAAATACAGCACTCCTACAAATGTGGAATGTTCAATTAACAAAGCAGATTAAGGATCCATGGCAGCAGCAGTAATGTGATGTGAATGACGAAACATGCAAGGTGATTGCGCCACTTGTGTTATCTTACGACTGCCGGCCTCTTGTGACAGGGTTAGTGCCCGTCGACATCGTGACATGAACTAAGGCGACGGAGCCTTCTTGGATTTATTAACAGGTTAAATATTCTTGTACTATCTTGTATGGTAGAAAAAGAAGCAGCCAAGAAATGGATCCGGCGCCTGACGGAGTCGCCTCGTAGTCCGGTCATTCCAACAAAACGCATTATAAATCTCGTCCGGCTACATGCCGGCAACTAATTAACAGCTTCGTCAGAGGACAAGCTCTCGATGATTAGAAAATAATAACAACATGCGAGAGCCTTGCTAATCGTATCAGTGTCGCACTACTCTACATGGTGACGACTAACGGGCAAACGCAACCACGCCGACGCGCGCACCACGACCGACGACACAGACGAAATCGATGGTTCGAACAGAGTTGCTCTGAATTTTGTGTGCGAGAATTGGATGGTTGCTCACCGTCGCGCAGCTGCGCCTGCTGCTCCATGGCCTGCAGCCGGAACTTGAGCTCGTTGTTGTGCGTGGCCAGCCCCGACGAATCGCGCTGCAACAAAGAGGAGGAGGAGGAAGAAGAAGATTTTAGCGCCATAGAAACTGTGGATCATCGAGTGACCGGTGGCCAGGAACATTGCGTGCATAGTGCACGCACGGATGGGTGGTCGTCTGGTGGATGTACCTGTAGGTGAGTCAGCTGTGCGGAGAGGGTGGTGGCCTCCGTCTGCAGGATCTGCACCTTGTGCTCCAGCTCGGCGATGTACCGCATCCGCCGCTCCTTGGACCGCGCCGCCGACTGCCGGTTGGCGAGCACCCTGCGAGGACCGGCGCAATCGGAGTGACATGTCATGTCAGTCCAGCTCGGTAGCAGCAGTGCATTGATGTGCATTGTGGCTAGCTGTGACGGGTGCCTACCTCTTGACGCGCTTTGGGTCGGCGAGGGCCATCTCGGCGAGCTTCTCGTCGGTCATGATCCGCTTCATCTCGGCCGGGGTGAACTCGCCGCTGCCGAACTCCAGGCTGAACTTGCTCGGCTCCCCGCCGTTGGCCGAGAAGCTCAGCTTCCCCATGAGGCTGTCCATGGACAGGCTCCGCGCGTGCCGGGTAGCCGCGGCCGCCGGCTCCCCGGCGGCGTTCCTCTTCCTGCCGGCCTCGCCCCAGAGGAACACCTGGCTCTCGACGCCGCTGTAGTCCTCCGACTCGTTCTCGCTGCTGTCGGCGCCGTTGGCCGGGGGCATGCTGCTCCCGCGGCTGTCCCCGTCGGAGCTGTTCAGCCCGTCCATGCCCTCCATGCTCATGAACGCGTTGAACAGCTCGTCGCCGCCGCCGCCGCCGCCGCCGCCGGCGCAGGGGAGGCCCCAGCCGGACTCCGTCTTGGGGGACGGCGGCGGGAAGTAGCCGAACGGGACGTCGCTGCGGGAGCGGCGGTGCGCCTTGCGCGGCGCCGAGTCGTCCTGCATCGGCATGCACGCGTCCGCGACGTGCAGGGAGTGGGAGCCGGCCCCCGAGGGCGGCGTCGGGGGCAGCCCCGCCCGCTGCCTGCCGCCCTGCCCCGGCTGCGACCCCATGCCCCTGGCGCTGGTCGCCGCGAAGGACGCGGGCAGCGGTGGCACGGCGGCCGCCTGGACGTGGCGGTGCATCAGCTCGTTCGTGGTGCCCATGTCCCGGACTGGCCTGGCAGAGCGGTGGCGCGCGCGCTCTCGTGTCGTGTGCTTGGGATGGGACGGAGGTGGTGGAATGATGATGCGCTCGTCTCGGCAGAGTTTGTTTCGCGCGGGGTGCCCGTGCCCACGCGGTTTGGAGGGCCTATTATAATCGCTGCGTGGCCGAGACCGGAGAGGCCTTCCCTTTTTCGTCCAGGTGGTGGCCCATCATTCCGTCGTGGGATTCTGCCGCGAGCCGGCAGAAGCAGGCGGCAGCGGCAAGCGGCAGGAGCATCCGCTTCGGGCTGCCCGCCTGCTCAAGTTTTTTTACATGGCTGGTTTGGAAGAACGCTCGAAGTGTGTACTCTAGTCATATGTACGGTTTCCATATGCATGTCAGGGTGGGTGGTCGCTACTGAAGTTTTTGCCGCTGATGGGATCGTGAATCGTGAAGGTGGTGTTGTGAGGAATACAGTTGGGCAGCGGGTGGGCAAGGTACCGGATGAGTCACTGGCCAGTGGCCAATTTA